CAATCTTTTAGCTGCCTGGAATAGGGGGGGGGGGAGTTAAAAATAGCTTTATACTCTAAGTCACACCCACTTTCCCTGTGAAACCGAAGACAATCGTGGACGGACGGACAGGGGCGACGACAATATACGTCCACATAAAAATGTGGCCGTATAAAAACGACAACTTCGGTGATTTCGGACTTTTCGCAGAAAGTTAAAGGCTCAATACCACTCTTGTTGTAACTGAATAATATGTCCCAGTCAGGGCTCGAAATTCGTTTTTTTCGATCGAAGGCCATTACTATATCATCGGTAGACCTGGGTAAAATATCGATAGTGTCGATAAGATATGCCAAAAAGCACTATCGAGTACCGGTATCGTTCTCTTCGACTCGTCTATTTTTCGTGCATGCGTTGGAGTCGACTCGATGTTTTCTGTGACTTAATCCTTCGTATATATATATATATATATATATATATATATATATATATATATATATATAATAATACAATAGCCTACATCGGTCACTTTATATTTACTTCAAAGTCTCAATCTCAATGTATCTTTTTATAAAAAAAATGTTAAAATAAATTCACCCACATTTAAACAATACTTTAGTTTGAAACAATAATCGCCATATCATGGAATTTTCTAAATTGGAGATACCCGGATGTGTAAATAATTCAGAGTTTTTCCCCTTTCAGAATTCGTCTGCTCATTATAAATGACATAGCAATGATGGTTGACAAAAACGTTTGTATTTCTTCTTTCGGAATCAAGGCTGTATTTTTTTAATAATATACTATTCAAAAAAAGTAGGGGATATTTGATTTTGGGGGCATAATACTAAAATATGCAAATGACTACGAAAAAAGTCACTATAGAACCTAACAGAAGAAACATTTCCAGTTACATGTGACGCCCAAACGCACCAGACGTAGGAGGGTGTGGCGTCGTCGAAACGAGCGCTTCCAAGACGTTAACGTCATCAGACATGATCGATTTGGGGGTGGTTCTGTTATGGTGTGGGGAGGCATCACTGTTGCTGGAAGAACGGCTTTACATGTTGTTGCAGGGCGTGTTACAGGCCAGTACTACCGGGACAACATCTTGGCAGTCCATGTTGTGCCGTTCGCACGACGTCATGGCCGCCGTTTCATCTTCCAGGATGACAACGCAAGATGTCACAGGGCCAGGATCGTTACAGGTTAACTCCAACAACAGAACATCACCACATTACCTTGGCCAGCACTGAGTCCCGACCTCTCCCCCATCGAGCATGTCTGGGACATGCTTGGACAGAGGTTACGTCAACGTCAACAACGTCCTGCCAATTTCCAAGAACTTGCTGCTGCGTTGCAACAGGAATGGGACAATCTGGACCAAAATGACCTTAGACGTCTCATTAGGAGTATGCCACGTCGGATCAATGCTTGTTTGGCAAACAGAGGAGGATTTACCCGTTACTGACTTGGTTGTGATGCTGTGGTAACTTTGCTGTTTGACCCCGGGTATCATTTTACCCTTATAATGGTCAGTCTGTGCCTTACTTAGTCTAACGATCATTTGGAATAAATCGATGAATGTGAACTTCATTTCATTTTGTCATTTGTTTCTTCGTCAGTTTCATTAGGTGACTTTAATAACACTTAAAAATCAAATATCCCCTACTTTTTTTGAATAGTATAATAAACAATTTACGCATTCGTGATAACAAGCTCTTTAGGCACATTTTCTTTAGTTTTTGCACACGAATCAACAACGATTTGTCCACCATGTTGGTATTTGTCGCGCTCACGTACGCAATGTTTTGAATCGACTCGTGCTCATTTTATTTTGGTTCCTGCACATACATAGGCCTATCAATGGTATTTCGTCATTCAGAACCAAAGCTACATTATTTAAAAATAAAGAACAATTTATACATAATATGAAACAGTTTATTATTAATTAAACGAACAAAAACATCTATCGGAGTATCACAACATCGTATGGTTTGACTTTAAAACACGTAATCGGCGACCATACATGGCCATGGATAGTTAAAAATCGGCCACAAATCTGCGGCCAAATTCTAAAATTCGAAGGCCATTGCCGCCGGCAGTGTCGAGCCCTGGTCCCAATCTTTATTCTAGTAAACAAACTGCACTATTTTACAATATTCCAATTAATTGATGATACAAATTTCATCTTAACACACCTAATTTAAAAAAAATGGAAAAATTCAACTAAATGATTTGAAAAGCCTGACGTAAAGCTTTTCAAATGTGACTTGGATTTAAAAATAAGTAAAATAGGATTTAATGGATAATTCACACAACAGGTAAGACACTAACACATCTAGTACTTAGAATAAGGCTATTTTTTATTTTCTGGAGCTGTCAAGCCAGCAAGAGTGTTATTGTCCCTTTAAAAATAGCTTTATACTCTAAGTCACACCCACTTTCCCTGTGAAACCGAAGACAATCGTGGACGGACGGACAGGAGCGACGACAATATATGTCCACATGAAAATGTGGGCGTATAAAAACGACAACTTCGGTGATGTCGGACTTTTCGCAAAATTTCCCAGAAAGTTCAAAATAGTTTTATACTCTAAGTCACACCCACTTTCCCTGTGAAACCAAAGACATCGTATCGATCCGACAAGTAGTTTCTAAAATACAATCAAATTGGAAAAAAAAATAATAAGAAGAATAATCGAAACAAAAACAATAGTGTTTCACACAAGCTATGCAGTACGCAGTGTGAAACCCTAATAATTTTAACAAAAACAATAGTGTTTCACACAAACTACGCAGTATGAAACCCTTATAATTTTAAAGATAGGTTGCCAGGCAACGAAACATACGCCCACAGCAGCTATATCGTCCCAGCAGTCAACAAGAGTTGTCGCATATTTTTACTTTTTTCGGCAATGAAACATTTATAATACATTAAAATCTGATTAAGAGTAACAATTCATTAAGTAATTATCAGAAAACCATTAGAATTTGTTTGGTTTTTATAAAGTTCTGCCCCATGCTAACACTTAGTATACAAAACTTTTAATATCATGGATTTAGCTGTTCAAGTCATAAAGATTCATTGATAATCAATATACTTGTTCGTCTCAAGACCTTAAAGTAGCTAAGTCTCTAACTCAATATAATCCAAAATCTTCAACATTGAAAACACAAATTATTTGTCAATTTAAATCAACAATGATGCTGTGATCTTACCGGAAAAAGATGGGCTTCTGATATCCAATATTTAAGACAAAATAAACATTTTACCATTGGTACACAAATCGTGTACCATAATGCGTTTCAGCCCCAGTTCTAGCAAGAGACTTGAGGAACAAGGCTAGACATATTGCACCAAACCAAGCGGCGTATGTAGACTGGAATAACCAGGCGCTAGAAATTTGCATTCGATTGAGACTGCTGGCTTATTTCGCGGAACATAACTGATTTGAAATTAGAGTAAAAACGGAAACCATTGAATGTATATCAGTTTATATACATTCATATTACAGTATTATGAGTTGCGATCCACTTATGTCAATTTCTAGGTCCCAAATGTTAGCGATTTAGCTCCTTTAAACTCTGTGTATCAATCTGAAGTCAATAGGATGATAACTTTAGCCTCTAGAGCGTCCACAAGATTTTTTAAAGTGATCAAGGGCAATAACTCTGGCAGTAATTATCGGAAATCGCTGAAAATCAATAGGCTTCTTCGTCTCATGACCTTTTAAAACACTGTGTATAAATTTAAAGTCAATCGGATATTAACTTTATCCTCTTGAGCGTCCACAAGCAATTGTGGACGCCAGACGGACGTGGGCAACAACAATATATGACCACATTTCAATGTGGGCGTATAACAAAAACAATAGTATGCAGTATGAAAGCTTAATTTATTTCCACAGCAACACAAAATTATTCTGAGAATTTTCTAATTAGCAAAAGGCATAAGTAGGGTGACCCATGCACGTACAGAAAGTTGGTCTCGGCACGGCCTATGTACATGCTTTTGTGTCTTATCTTGAAGTGATTTCTCGCATACACTACGCACTCAGCGGTAGAGTCTATGATACTATAAATAGCCATCGCACGTGCAATTCTCTACACTTCTATCAACTATTACAGCCGTAAAAAATCTATTGTTGATGATTCTGAATAGCAGTAATATTTAGCTTATTGGTTATTACAGCAGCTTTAGAAATTATGTTCGTTTATTTTTCAAATTGGTATATCATTAACTGTACCATTAGGAGCTATATTTTGTTTTAGTACAAATAATATCTCTGAAATACTCGGGTTAGCCAAGAATATGATACTAGCAGTAGTTTCATTTTACTTTTACAAGGTTCTTAAAACAATTGTTGAGTTGCCTAACGTGCGTGTTTCTAAATTCAATTTTTTGTTCCAAGTAGTCTTGATTATCCCGGCCTATTAATCAAACATAGAATGATTTGTAGACTGGTTAAGCGAGAATACTTTCACAACAAGAGCACGTAACCTATTTTTTACTCACACGTGCTCGGATGTTATGGGCGACACTCGGAACCATTTTCAGTGTATTATTTATGGATGATTAAATGGTCATAGCTTATTAAGTACAGCATGACCGTTTACTTAGTGACTATAACTGTTTGAAACTGATTTAAGGCTTGGTGTATATATAGATATTGTGGTGTAATTGTCGAGATATTTGGAGATATTTATATATGGTGGGTAACCCTAGCATAAGATGCGCTAGTGGTATAAGGGTTCAATTACATGGTTTCTGTGATATGGTTTGGAATAATAGTTGCATACCAAAAATTCGTTCCCATGGAAATGCAAACATTATCAAACGGATAATATTCTTTTTGGAGAAAGGGTCAAGTACTATTATAGACTGATGTGTGTATAAAATTTTGTAAAGATGTTTTGAGAGGTTAACAAGATACATGCATGCTCTAGAAACAAAACCCGGAAAGACAGACATCATACGGAACATACTTCATTAGATGTGGAATAATAAATGCAAGTACCTTTGATTTTGGTTATGAGTGCAGCGGCAGAAGAGAAGAGATCTGTTGAATGGAGAGCTGGGTAACCTTGTAAAACATTCTTTAAGATACATAGTACATCACCAAGTCTTTCATGCGCTGCAACTTTAGCTTCATCACCATTTTCTATACATTAAATTTTGTTACAATATGCAAGTAATAATGTAGTTATGTCACCAAGGTAACGTTAACAAGCCAACCCCGAGCCTCAATCCAAAAAACAAAAAATGACATGAAATGGGTTTAGTGTCCTACTCCAAAACAATCTGATTAAAATTCAGGTCTATATTTTTTCGTTTCATCTTTTTATACGTTCGATGGCCTCTACTACATGAAGATCTGACCTTATGACGTCAGAAATTTGATTAACCAATCGGTGTTGATGTTTCTAGAGGGTTACCCACAGTTCCGTGCACCTCACACCAGAAACTTGCCGAAACAGGCCGCTTCGTTGGCTTATCCCTCACATCATCCAGAAAGTGGGTTATATAACAACTCTTCCAGATCCTAGTGTAGTATTAGTAAGGACAATTAAAACGAAATTCTGAACTATAAAAGACGAAACAAAAGAGGATCTGTGCTTTAATCAGACTGACTCCAAAATATACAGCTGACATTCAAGGTATTGATGTATCAGGTAATGAAACTATACGCGAAGTTTAACTATCACTCCTCAATTAGAACTGGAGTTATCATGTTCCATAGTATTGACAAATCGAAATGCTTACCCCTACTATGCCTCAGCCAGAAATGCTGATCAAGTCGAGACATTCACCAAATGAACATCTACACCAAGTTTGAACATTCTCCCTAGTTAGAAGTACATGTAGAGATATTTTGTCCATGTGGACAGATAGACAAACAAACCCATTTTAAGGCCATATAAAAAAAATATTCTTATGCATCACTTCAAAAGGGCCTCAAGACCTGTTCTTGTTTTAAACCAGTGATTGCCAGGCAAGACACGCCCAAATTTTGCAACAGATGGATAGAGAACAAGCTAAAAACAAAAGCGATTTTTCTACAATCAGGGGCAATAATCCACAAAGTTATGGTCTGAAATGCGCAAATATCGAAAGGCTCTGAGATCTTTAAGATACAAAGATATATTTTATGTTTCATCAAAATTGGATAAAAATTGTGACCTCCACAACCTTCGTATTACATACTTTTATACACTTTGCGTACAAAGAGCGGCCATTTTGTCGGGCAGTTATGTTTCAATTTTCCTGAAATTTGAATTCAACCTTCATAATGATGGAATGGTGATATATTTAAATGGTTTTTAAAAATGGTATGACACTATTTGCATACAAGGAGCCGCCATTTTTCAGGCAGTTTTGGTCCAATTTTCACGAAATTGAAACTCAACTGTGTTTAGCGTGTAACGGTGATAAATTTAAATGTTTTTTTTTAAATTGGATAAAAATTACGACCTCTAGAGGGTCCACAAGCTAAAAACATGATTTTTCGTATAATCAGGGTCTATAATCCAGAAAGGTATTGTCTCAAATGTTTAAACATCAAAAGGGACTGAGATCTTTAGGATATAAAGAGATATTTCAAGATAGGATAAAAGTTGTGACCTCCACAATCATCGTATTACATACTTTTACACAATTTGCGTACAAAGAGCGACCATTTTGTCCGGTAGTTACGTTTCAATTTTCCCAAAATTCAACTTCAACCTTCATTATGGTGGAATGGTGATATATTTAAATGGTTTTTAAAATCGGATAAAAAATTGTGACCTCTAGAGAATCTGCCAAATAAAAAAACACGATTTTTCATACAATCAGGTGCCGTAATCCAGATCTTACGGTCTAATATGCGCGGATGTCGAAAGGAATCCAGATCTTTGCAACATAAACATATATTTTAAGTTTCATCAAAATTTGATAACAATTGTGACTTCTAGAGTGTCCACAACCTTGGTATGACATACTTCTAGTACACAATTTGCGTACAAGGAGCTGCTATTTTTCAGGCAGTTTTGGTCCAATTTAAACATTTTTTTAAAATTGGATAAAAAATTGTGACCTCTTAAGGGTCCACAAGCTAAAAACATGATATTTCGTACAAACCGGGGACATGGGCCATAATCCAGGATGTTACAGTCCAATATGCGCAAATATCAAAAGGAACCACAATCTTTAGATTATAAACATAGGCCTACATTTCAAGTTTCATCAAAATAGGATAACCAGTGGCTGCCAGTCAAGATACGCCCACATTTTGCAAGAGATATAAAACAAGCTAAAAAAAGAAAAGCGATTTTGCATACAATCAGGGGCCATAATCCAGGAAGTTATGGTCTGAAATGTGGGAATATCGAAATGGACTAAGATATTTGGGATATAAAGATATATTTCAAGTTTCCACAAAATCGGATAAAAATTGTGACTTCTAGAGAGCCCACAACCTTGGTATTACATACTTTTACACTATTTGCGTTCAAACTCAGCCATCATCAGGGTTTAACGGTGATATATTCAAATGTTTTTTTTTAATCGGATAAAAATTGTGACCTCTTGACAGTGATGGCATTTCAAAATTTTTTCTTGTCGGACATTTTACCGAAAATGTCTGGAATATACAGGCAAAATCCCATCACTGCCTATAGAGGAGGCACAAGCTAAAAACGTGATTTTTTTCATACAATCTAATTCAGGACGTTACGATCCGATATGCAAGAAATCGAAAGGAACCAAGATCTTCGGGTTATAAGCTAAAAACGTGATTTTTCATACAATCAGGGGCCAAAATCCAAGAAGATACGGTCCGATACATGCCAATATCGAAAGGAACCAAAATCTTTATATTATAAACATCATCAAAATCAGACGAAAATTGTGACTTCTAGAGTGTCCACAAGCTAAAAACGTGATTTTTCGTACAATCAGGGGCCATAATCCATGAAGTTTTGATCTGATACACGCCAATATCAAAAGGAACCGAGATCTTTTGGCGATAAACCTATATTTCAAGTTTCGTCAAAATCGGATAAGAATTGTGACCTGTAGAGTGTCCACAGACAAATTGTGGATGGACAGATGTCCAGGCAGACAGGAGCAACAACAATATGCGTCCACATGAAAGTGTGGGCGTGTAAACAATATAAATAATCCTGCAACACTTAGAAAAGAGCCTCACGACCTGTTTATATTAAAACACAAAAAAAAAAACTCCCTTCCACAAGGATTGTCTGAGAACCAGAATATTTTTTTTTGTATCCCCTAATAGTCACTTGGAAAAGTGGGGAACAAACATTTAGTCACACTCAAAATTTATGCTGTGAGTCGTTATAAACGAATCTACTCGACTGTACAGAGTATTTTGTATTCTTTTAGTGCACAATGGACCGTGGTGGTGACCGATTACATCGATATTAATGAGGGTGTATTAAATTAATTTAAAACTTTGGTTACTGAGACGACACATGCAAAGATAGTTGAGGAGCATTTTGCCTGAACAAAGGCGTTTCTGTCTCATATTCTTCAAATTCCAACTGTCAAAGACTCTTTTATCATCACACCAGTGTTTATTTAGGCAAACCTCAGTTTTCTGCCCCTTGATGCAGTTGCTAATGCTGCCCAAAGTTGGAACCTAGCTTGAAAGATAGGTTGCCAGGCAACGAAACATACGCCCACAGCAACTAAATCGTATGGGCAGTCAACAAGGGAGTCAACAAGGGTTGTCGCATATTTTTACTTTTTTCGGTAATGAAACATTTATAATACACTAAAATCTGATTAAGAGCAACAACTCACGAAGTAATTATCAGAAAACTATTAGAATTTGTTTGGTTTTTATAAAGTTCTGCCCCATGCTAACGTTTTGTATGAAATCAAAATACTTGTTCGTCTCAAGATCTTAAACTCGGTGTATCAATCTGAAGTCAATCAGATGATAACTTGATCCTTGATAGCGTCACAAGATTTTACAAAGTGATCAAGGGCCATAACTTTGGCAGTAATTATCGGAAATCGTTGAAAATCAATAGGAATCTTCGTCTCATGACCTCAAACACTGTGTATAAATTTAAACTCAATCAGATATTAACTTTAGCCTCTAGAGCATCCACAAGATTTTTTGAAGTGATCAAGGCCATAACTCTGGCAGTAATTATCGGAAATTGCCGAAAATCAATAGGCTTCATCGTCTCATGACCCTAAACACTGTGTATAAAGATTTATCAAAGTGATCAAGGGCCATAACTCTGACAGCAAATATTGGAAATCGCTGAAAATCAATAGGCTTCTTCATCTCATGACCTGTGTATAAATTTAAAGTCAATCGGATATTAACTTTGGCTTCTAGAGCACCCACAAGATTTTTTATAGTGATCAAGGGCCATAAATCTGTCAGTAATTATCAGAAATCGCAAAAAATCAATAGGCTTCTTCATATCATGACCTTAAACACTGTGTATAAATTTAAAGTCAATCGGATATTAACTTTGGCCTTTAGAGCAGCCACAAGATTTTTTGAAGTGATCAAGGACCATAACTCTGGCAGTAATTATCGGGAATCATTGAAAATCAATAGGCTTCTTCGTCTCATGACCTCAAACACTGTGTATAAATTTAAGGTCAATTGGATATTAACTTTGGCCTCTAGAGCGTCCACAAGATTTTTCAAAGTGATCAAGGGCCATAACTCTGGCAGTAAATATCGAAAATCACTGAAAATCAACAGGCTTCTTTGTCTCATGACCTCAAACACTGTGTATAAATTTAAAGTTAATCTGATATTAACTTTTGCCTCTAGAGCGTCCACAATCCTGATGGTTATTATCAAATCAAACTGGTATTTAAACATCTGTGAAATATTAATATTTCTTTTTAACCTGTGAAACTGGAATGTCCAGTGCCTGAGTACACAGACCTGTATTAAAATAAGAATTCTCACCTATTTTCTCAGTAAAAGTTGCTTTTAGTTTTGCCAATGCATCTGAGAAGTTTTTGACATTTTGTGTTAAGGCAATAATGTCATCTTGATCCATTATGAGAGGAGTTGTAGGACCACCCTTCATAGAGCCTAAAGATGAACTTTTTGTTACTTTCTGTGTACCAGGCATCTCTGGGATTAACAAATCCAAACAATTTGTGTGATCTTCATATTCTTCATTTGATACACATGTCTATGATTACAAAATTGAATAATCAATATACACATAATTATAATATGAATCGTTGTGAAGCTAAATCAGAGAGATTTTGATTTGAATTATTTGTCAATTTAAATTAACATTGATGCTGTGATCTTACCGGGAATACATGAGCTTCCAATATCCAATATTTAAGACAAAATAAACCTTTTACCATTGGTACACGAATCGTGTACCATAACGCATTTCAGCGCCATTTGTAACAAGGGATTCAAAGAACGAGGCTAGACATATTCAACAAGTCATGTCAAACAGAGACGCAAACTCTTATCTAGAGAGCATGCCCAATAAATACTATCAGTGTAGAATGGAATAACCAGACACTAGAGATTGCCATTCGATGAGACTTCTGGCATATTTCGCCTAACATAACTGATTTGAAATTAGAGTAAAAACAGAAACGATTGAAATTTAAGAATGTAAATCAGTTTATATACATTCATATATTACATTATTATAATCTATTGCGACCCATTTGTCTTGTGTCAATTTCTAGACCCCAAATATTATCGATTTAATTAGCTTCTTTAAATTGACAAATAATTTGTGTTTTCAACCTGGAAAGCTTTGGATGATATTGAGTTAAGAGACTTTGCATTGCTACTATTCGTGTGGACGAGTTAAGGCATTCTAGACCGGGAGCCAAGGGGGTCAACCTAGCTGAAAAGTGTACCAATTTTCTCTTATATGGTATCAATGTATGTATATCTGGTATCATCAGAATGTAAGTCTGCCGGGTTTCTGGTGGTGGGTGTGGTATTCCACGCCCTAAATGCCATGATCCCCAACTAGGCTAGATTATAGTGTTGTGCGGTTTTTAAATTTTCTTTCAGTTTCGGTTTTCATTTTTTCTGGGGCAAAAAAACTCATTTTCGGTTTTCGGTTTTTTTATTCATTGAAACACTGTATTATGAATGTACTGATTTATGGTTATCTTATATGAATACTTTGAAGCTAGAAAAAATATAAAACATATTGATGTAAATTTTTAAACAACAAGTTTTTTTACTGTTATATGACTTTAATTATGACTAGTAAAAACAAAGTTACTGTAAAAAAAAAGATCTGACAAACTTTGTCAAACAAGTTACACAACACCATAATAATAAATTAACATAACAATAATAAATTAACACTAGAACTGCGACACAGTAAACACGGGTTTCACTGGTGCCCCGTTACCCTTGAACATATGTCACTTCTGGTACTGATGAAACCATTCAACAGGTTTCCATGTAAGCATTTCACACATCAAATAAAATGTACGCAGAATCAACCAAATCCGGCAATATCAATTCATTGTATACATTTGTTACATGTAAGTGATCCTGACAAAATTACATTACTTCCGGTGATAATGAAAATTCTAAATTAGTTTCATGAAATCATAAATGGCATAAGGCATCACATGGTGAAATTTTTTATGTAAATCGAATAATAATTGCCACTTTTATAGAACAAAAACCTTGAAAAGTGACCTGTAGAATATCGTCTATTTCTCTGCAACCGTACAAGTTAGAAACCATTTTTTGGTATCTGTATGATTGTGTGGGTATAATCTATTTGTTGATTGGAATCAAATATCATAATTTTAAAAACAACACAAACCAGACTCATTTGAATAAAATATCTGTTTTGAAGGCTTTAAATACAGTTATTGCCAAAATGACGTTACTTCCGGTGACAGAAAAAGTGTTAAATTACTTGTATAAAATCGTAAATTGCATTAGGTATCCCACACTGGAAATTTTATGAAAATTGAATAATAATTGACACTATTATGGACCAAAAACCTTGAAAAGTTACCTGTTGAAAATCGTCTATTTCTCTGCAACTGAACAAGTTAGAAACCATTTTGTCATATCTATATGATCGTATGGGTTCATTCTATTAGTTGATTGGAATCAAATATCAAAATTTTAAACAAATAACAAATTTTTACAAATACGACTTGTTTGAATAAATTACTGGTTTGAAGGCTATAAATACATTTTTTGCCCAAATTACGTCATTTCCGGTGACATTGAAAATGTTAAATTGGTTTGACCTAGTTAAAATTGACATTACGCATCATATGGTGTCACTTTTATGAAAATCCAATAATAATTGACACTTTTACAGGCAAAATAGCGTAAACGGGGACTCAAGCAAAATTGCCCATTTCTCGGCAACTGCTTATATTACAAACTAATTTTCACATACATTCTCTTCGTATGGATTATTGCTACTAGTTTATGAAAGTTGCGAAAAAATATATTAAAATATGAAAAGCCTGAATGGGTTGTAAATGGCTCATTTTTTCACCTTTAAATCGAAATTACCCGAAAACGAAATCGAAATTAAAAAAAGTGAGTCCGATGTTTTCTGCGCCTTTACAGGGCACACCCTTTCAGTCATACCAGATTTGAAAAAAATAATATTTGCTTTCAAAAAGTGGTACCGAACTCTCAAAATTGTAGTTTTTGCTAAATTTACGTCACTTCCATTGCCGAAAGGCAATTTTTCCGGTTACAAAAAAAATGACATTTTGAATCACGGAGCATATGAACTTTGTTTTATACAAATCGAACAATAAATAATTAATCCAGGACTGAAAAACTGAATTAGCCAATGGGGGCCAAGGAAAAATACGGTGGCAAAAAATGTTGCCATTTTTGGTCAAATCAGATGACTCTTTAACCCTAAGTAAATTACCACATAAAAATATTCATTAATAAAAAAGTTTTTTGTAAAAATTTGGCGCCTAATATCTCCTAAGATTCGTCGAAAATAAAAAATCCAAAGAACTGTAGCTATGTGCCTTGTCTCTGGCTATGTCAAAATGTATCAAATATTACAATCCGACAATTATTGATAACATTACGGCAAAATATCGAAAACGACAACTTCGGTGATTTCGGACATTTCGCATTGTCGCAGAACGTTGGAAATAGCTTTAAAATTTAAGTCAAACCCACTTTCCCAGTAAAACCAAAGACATCGAATCGATCCGACAAGTAGTTTCTGAGATATGCTCAAATGGAAAAATAATAATAATAATAATAACTAGAACTGCAATGCAGTAATGACGGGTTTCACCGGTGCCCCGTTACCCTTGAACATATGTCACTTCCGGTACCGATGAAACCATTAAACAGGTTTCCATTTAAGCATTGCACACATCACATAAAATGTACGCAGAATCAACCAAATCCGGCAATATCAATTCATTGTATACATTCATTACATGTAAGTGATCCTGACAACATTACATTACTTTCAGTGATAATGAAAATGTTAAATTAGTTTCATGAAATCAGAAATGGCATAAGGCATCACATGGTGAAAATTTTATGTAAATCGAATAATATTTGCCACTTTTATAGACCAAAATCCTTGAAAAGTGACTTGTAGAATATCGTCTATTTTTCTTCAACCGTACAAGTTAGAAACCATTTTTTGGTATTTGTATGATCGTGTGGGTTCAATCTATTTGTTGATTGGAATCAAATATCATAATTTTAAAAACAATACAAATCAGACTCATTTGAATAAAATATCTGTTTTGAAGGCTAAAAATACAGTTTTTGCCACAATGACGTTACTTCCGGTAACAGTAAAAGTGTTAAATTACTTGTATGAAATCGTAAATGGCATTAGGTATCACACACAGGGAATTTTATGAAAATCGAATAATAATTGACACTTTTATGGACCAAAAAATTGAAAAGTTACCTGTTGAAAATCGTCTATTTCTCCGCAACTGAACAAGTTAGAAACCATTTTGTGATATCTATATGATCGTTTGGGTTCATTCTATTAGTTAATTGGAATCAAATATTAAAATTTTAAACAAATAACAAATAAGACTCATTTGAATAAATTACTGGTTTTGAAGGTTATAAATACAATTTTTGCCCAAATTACGTCCTTTCCGGTGACATTGACAATGTTAAATTGGTTTGACCTTGTTAAAATTGACATTACGCATCAAATGGTGTCACTTTTATGAAAATCAAATAATTGACTCTTATACAGGCAAACTAGCGTAAAAAGTGACTCGTACTCATACAAAATTGCCCATTTCTCGGCAACTGTTCATATTACAAATTAATTTTCACATACATTCTCTTCGTATGGATTATTGCTACTAGTTTATGAAAGTTGCGAAGAAATATTTTAAAATATGAAAAGCCTGAATGGGTTGTGAATAGCTCATTTTTTCACCTTTTCCGAAACGAAAAACGGGTAAATTAAAATTTAGGAATTTGGAAAAAATAACCGAAACGTACGGTTATTTTTTGTTTTATCGGTTCGGTTTTCGGTTTATATGTAAAAACTTAAAAATCAGCTAGCCTAGTTGGGGGAGTGGCATTTTGGGGCGTGTCTGTTAGGGGTAACCCACCGCACAAACTGTCTGGCAGTGGTCATTCATGACTCCTGTGGTGGTACTGAACAACTCCAAAGCTGTTTTAGGTGGTACAGATTTGAGCTAATCTAGCCTAGTTTGGTCTAAATATTAGATAACTCTTGTCAGGGATACACCACCACTACACAAATGTCTGGCAATTACATAGCTCTGTCAGGGGTACCCCACCACTAGAAATGTCTGTCAGAGTGTTTTTGTAATACCTGAAGATGTATGGTACACTGCAGTAAGATTTTCGTGTGGTACACTTTTGAGCTAATCTAGACTAGTTGGGGGGCATGGCATTGTGGGCGTGGAATACCCCACCCACCACCAGAAACCCTGCAGACTTACATTCTAATGATACCAGATATACATACATTGATACTTATAGGACAAAATTGGTACACTTTTCAGCTAGGTTAACCCCCTGGGCTCCTGCTCTATTCTGCTACAGTTCTATCAGAGATGGTAATTAATTTGACAATGAGATTTTGACGATCAAATTTAATACAATGCAGGACCAATCATTATATTATTAACCTAGCTAGTAGATCTATTATATAGCTTTATATGAACGAAGTAATGCTTTGTCAATGTTCTACTTCTAACCTGCTGATGATGTGTGTCAGTTCGACCGTCAGGCGAATCTACAAACTTTTGTCGGAGGGATTTCCCGATATTTCGAGCCAGTTTTCGTCCTTTGGACGACATCGCTTTAACTTATCAAGTGGTAAATTCATTGCACAAACCTCACCATTTAAAATCGTTTACCATGCAACGTATGGATAGACCTAAAATATAATTATGAAATAAAGTTTTCACATTCTTCCGACTGCACTTATTTCCGCCATGTTCTCTTGGCTGATGCGCGAGCAAGTCACGTGACTCATATCAGTCAAAACGTACACCATTTCTACGAGCCAGTTCTATAATCTATACGTAAACCTCGCCACAGTACGAGAAAGTTAAATGCGTGTTTTCAGTTACATATTCTTGAAGTAATGGCCCGAGAAATCCCTCTGTCATCTGTGGCCTTGCTGGATTGATTTATCCATTCTTCCCGTTCAATCAAATCTATCCCAAGTAGGTTAAAGCAACATGACAGTCCTTCGTTTAATCTGTCCCATAAACATTGCAAGATGGGGGCCATATATGGGGGAAAATGGGCTGTGGGCCCAGGTGATACCACAAGGTCCCCATACTGGACCCATATTATCTTCCCACATACAAATGTACGCAAATACTCTTTATTTTCATGTATACTAATATCACAGAGGCAAGCCAAATGTCAATGATATAATGCTTGTACTTCTTTCTTACATTGATGATAATCTGACCGTATAGTGTGTGTATCTGGGGCCAATATGGGATTTCCCACATTAACAGCTCTGTTTTTGTATACATGGGGCTAATATGGTGTCTGTATGGGATTACCCATGTGTGTAACTCGGGGATAATATGGTATCTGTATGGGAGCACATATAACTTTTGTATATCTGGGGCCAACATGGTATCCATATGGGATTACTTATTTGTGTATATTTAAGTTCATTATTGAAGCCATACTTTTAGTTGTGTGTATATTAATATCACAGAGACAAGCCAAATGATATAATGCTTACTTCTTTCTTACATGGATACTCAGACCTTATAGTGTGTGTATCTGGGGCCAATATGGGATCTATATGGGATTACCCACATTAACAACTCTGTTTTTGTATACATGGAGCCAATATGGTGTCCATATGGGATTACCCATGTGTGTATCTGGGGGTAATATTGTATCTGTATGGGATTACATATAACTTTTGTATATCTGGGGGCCAATATTGTATCCATATGGGATTACTAATTTGTGTATGTATAAGTTCATTTTTGAATCCATACTTTTAGCTTTGTGAACCAATCTGCACAGAAAAGATTACCCATATGTGCACCAAAAGTCTGTGTGGTATGGATATAACCACATTCATGTATATTATGTATATGGGTTTAATATGGTATCCATTCCGATTACCCACATATAAAATAATATATATGTCTGGGTCTAATATGGTATCCATATGGGATTTCCCACATGTGTATCTGGGGCCAATACCATATCTATATGGCATCTGGGGCCAATATGTTATCCATATGTGATTAGCCACACCTGTATCGGTTTCAACGTGGAATCATACCAATTGCATTTAGTAGTTAGTAATAAGTATTCAGGAAATTAAAATCAGAATGTCATTAAAGTGTTTATTTGGGAGACGTTAAACTTATTGTGCACTCAACAGTTGCATTTTCATGACAAGTAAACGATCACACAGACGGGTGCAATTTACATTACCATGTCGCTTATGCTGTAATTTTACAACTACACAGATTTGTTAAAGTGCATAAGAATTTTTACAGGTAAGGTCTTTTTGCAATTTCTTTATTGATCTACTTTACAAATTTCCTATTTCTCCTTCATTAAAATTAAATGCTTTCGCTTAATTAAACATAAACATTATGCAAGAGCTAAATCTGCCTATTGCAGGTCTTTCTTTAGGTCTGAAATGTTATATAAACTATTAATTAGACATTTATTAACATAAAAAGACCATAATCAACCTTCGATGGCATCTTATATGGGTCCGATTTTCATTAGATTTGAAGCCAATTTTCTGTCCAACGCCCCATTGATGATTAACCGCAAAAATGGATAATCAAGTCTTTTTTTTTTTTATTATCGTAACAGCGGTAAAAATGACAATCGAGGCTACCGTGTTTCATAAATCAGATTGAAGCCATTTCACTGAAATTTTACACATTTCCCATTTACATTATAATCTATTTTTTATACGCCCACATTTTCATGCGGACGTATATTGTCGTCGCCCCTGTCCGTCCGTCCACAATTGTTTGTGAACAGTCTACAGGTCACAAGTTTTATTCGATTTCAATGAAACTTAAAGTATAGGTTTATCACCCTGAGATCGTGGTTCCTTTCGATATTGGAATGTATCAGACTGTAACTTCATGGATTATGGCCCCTGATTGTTAGAAAAATCACATTTTTAGCTTGTGAACACTGTAGAGGTCACAATTTTCATCCGATTTGAATTAAACTTGAAATATATGTTTATAACCCACAGATCTCGGTTCCTTTCGATATTCGCGCATATCAGACCATAACTTCCTGAATTATGGCCCCTGGTTGTACGAAAAATCGTGTTTTTAGCTTGTGGACCCCGTATAGGTCACAATTTTTTATCAAATTTAAAAAAACGTTACAATATATCACCATTACACACAAAGGATGGTTGACTTCGAATTTCGTAAAAATCGGACCGAAACTGACGGACAAATTTAATGTCCTCCCCTCGTTCGCAAATAGTGTCAAAATATTGTGTATCAGGGTTGTGGACCCTCTGGAGGCCACAAATTTCATCTGATTTTGATGAAACTTGAAATGTATGTTTATAACCCACGGATCTCGGTTCCTTTAGATATTCGCGCATATCGGACCATAACTTCCTGAATTATGGCCCCTGATTGTACGGAAAATCACGTTTTTAGCTTGTGGACCCCATAGAGGTCACTATTTTTTATCCGATTTAAAAAATCGTTCGAATATATCACCATTACACACTAAGATCTTGGTTCCTTTTGATAATTGCAGATACCCGAACTTAACTTCCTGGATAAAGGCCCCTGATTGTTCGAAAAAATCGCATTTTTAGCTTGCGGATACTCTAGAGGTCACAATTTTTTTCCGATTTTAAAAACCATTTAAATACATCACCATTCCACCATAATCAAGGTTGAATTCGTATTTCGGGAAAATCAAAATGAAACTGTCCGACAAAATGGCCGCTCTTTGTACGCAAATTGTGTAGAAGTGTGTAATATAAAGGTTGTGGACCCTCTAGAGGTCACAATTTTTATCTGATTTTGATGAAACTTAAAAGATATCTTTATATCCCAAACATCTCTGTCCCTTTTGATATTTGCACATATCAGGCCATAACTTTCTGGATTATTGCCCCTGATTGTACAAAAATTCATGTTTGTTTTTAGCTTGTTCTCTATCCATCTCTTGCAAAATGTGGGCGTATCCTGCCTGGCAGCCGCTGGTTAGCTATTACATCTAGAATTGTCAACTCTTTTTTTAATCTTCCATGAAGTATCTTTAAGTCAAACAATTTCATATCCGGTAACCTAACAGGTAACTGCATAGGTTGCCTTAAAATTATATGCGGCAACCTATCAGGTTTTCTGCTGTAATATATATTAGTGATGAGACCGTCTATGTATGGTAGCCTGTAAGAATTGAGAAGTAAGAGATTAGAATTTAATAAAATTGAGAAATTAAGTCTTTTTTCTTTGTTTTGTTTTAATTTATAATATTGAACATGAACATAACTTTCAGGGGCGATCGGGCGACCGGGCCGGCCGGACAAAAAATGAAAAAAATAATTCTGTCCAATTCGTCTAAAAAACCTTTTCTGCTGAAAATTATATGGGGGAGGGGGTATTGGATCGGCCATGGAGCGATGATGATCGTGTTGTATGTGGCCGGTGGCTTTAACGGGCCGCCACGCCATCACTGGAGTCTGGAATGGGCTGGTATAATAGACTTTCTGGGCCGGGTGTGCTGGGTGTGGGCCGGAATTCGGAATCCTGCAATGGGGATTCCGAATTTCATCCACAAATTTCATCGGATTCACCCGACACTGTCGCCCGGAAATTTACTAATTATTAAGCCACCTGCACCCTATTTTGGGGGATACGCCAGAAACGTCTGCCGATGGTTCGTAACTCCAAAAAAATTCAATTTTAAGGCCTCAGCAAAATTTGATGATAGCTGGTCTGCTGGCTGAATATGAGTGCGAGACGATTTCCTGGGGCTGGTGTTAAACATTCCTTGACATCACAGGTTGATGGTTGTAAATTACTTGCAGGTCGGGGTTTTGGCCTACTGTCTGATTCATCGTAAATTTTAAACGGATTTCTTCGATTATGAACAAACTACTTAACTTTGGTTATTATAAACTTACCTGTGTGTTTGTAATGAACTCCCGTTCGATAAAATCCATTGCACAACTAATTATCACAACGATGAGAACAATTTCTCTCTTGAAAAATTTGAAAATTTACTTGTAATTTCGACAGAGGCGATGTCAACAATGTCTTCGTGACGTATTGGTCGAATCCAATATACCTGTTGCGGGGGTTGGTTAACATTGAAAGATAGTTTGACAGCGCGATCATTTTGATCGTATATGGGTTTGGGCGACGAAAAATATCAATTGAAGGCAATTACATAGGAGATTTATATGGAAACCATTGATCGCCAGTCTATCAAATTTTCTTCACAATTAAAATATCACTGATTGCACGGATACTCGTAAAAATAAAGTCATGAATAAACTATAAATATCCTATCTTCTTTATGTTATAAATAATTTAACAAGGATCATGAAGCTTACCTCCGAATTCTCTGAGTGTATTTTTAATTTTATACGCATTCTTTCGATCGAATAATAACCGCTTCAGTAACATCTTTAAGCGTGTTGCGGCAGCCCTCAGCGTGTCTATTGCCGTATTGGGTGCCCGGGTGGGTATATAATGCTACTAAGCCCGTATGACCCCGTAAGAAGCGGAACATTAATTCTCGATTCGACAGTTTTGACCGAAGTGTGATAAAGCCCGTAAAACGAATGTATAGTTGTGTTTGTGCGGCATGCGTGTTCAAAAGTAAATAATCCCATCCGAGTCGCTAATCAAATAATTAGAACAAAATATTTCAAAAAGTAAAGCTATAAAATTTGCAGAGATTTTACTAGAATGTAAAAGACGGTAACTAAATACAGGAATGCGGGTAGTTATGTGTGCGAACGCTCAAACTCAATGCC